ATGATCAGGTTTTAAGATTAAAACTAGATCCATACAATAACCATCCGCACTAGTTATTCTCTGCTGACAAGTGGATGATAGGTTAGCGGCCTTCACCTGTAAATAATATTGCTGCTGAATTAGTTACAAGACTGGCAGAAAATTATAATAATAACAGATAATCATCATCTGTATTGAAGTAGTACTTACATAAGAATTTTTTTTCAAAATCTTGGTTATGTAAGAGAAATGCATCTACGGTCTTTTTTTCAACACGAGTTGTAACAAAGATAGCACAGAGTTTTAGAGACAAAATAGTACTGCTGATTTATAAAACTCGATTTTAAACTCCCCTTTTGCGTTTTACTTTGATATAAAAACAGAATTTCTTTTGGCAGGTAAGGGAGTCGATTTTCTTATTTGGGCATAAAACTATAGGCCAACATCCAAAACAATCGAGTTAATCCCTTTATTTTAACCCGAAATTAAAGTCTGGAATTAGTTGTGGCAACTCCTTTTAATTTTTTGCTCTATCAGTAATAAAAATTACGATAAGTAATACTTCTTATTGGGTCACAAACGTACAAAAAATTACATGAAGCTGCAGAACAATTCATGAGTAAAACATAACTTACTAAATCCCCCAATTTCCTCCTCTTCAGTCAGATCATAAAACACCTAGAAATATATTTTTTTGATCTTAGATCCCAAAGCACAGATTTTTAAAATATGACAACTCTGGTAGCCGAACTCAACTCCAAGTGTCCATCGCTTTAACAGTGTTCTGCTGCCATTCCCCAACAACCATTCTCCACAGAAGATCTACATGCCAAATGGTTGTCAACAACAAATTTTTTAGATGAAATCCTTGAAAATTTTTGACACTTTGTGATTAAGCTTTTAAAAAACTAATTTTCAGTGCCAGTGGTGGAAATTGATGATTTGCGTGATTTACTAAGAGTGTAACACAAGTAAAATTCCTAAAGAAAAGTATATTTTTTTCATTTATTAGAACACTTTTAAAATATGCAAATTAATAGCACGCTACATCATATAATAAATGATGATTAATGATTCATAGGGAAGCTCCATATGGAGTTCTTCGTTATACGATCAAAACAAGACTTTTCTAGTTTAGCAGTGGTATCTTCAGTTCAGGACAGAAAATTTTACATAAAGTCCAAACTAGGTAAACAAAAAAGAAGGTAAATCTGACCTTCAGATTTTTACATCAGGACAGTTAGACGAGCAATCCGATAAACCTCTTTCCCGATCCTACTAGTGCTTGCTCAGGAAAAGCAGAAATAAATTATGGCAAAATTAATTGCTAGCATCCAAAACATTCTTTTTAAAGTTAATAACTTTTTTAAGATTCAAAGATCATTACTGGTGATGCAAATGGACGGCCTTACCTTAAACACAAAGCTGAGATGACCTTCCAAAACTATCTTAACAGGTGCGAAAATGCGACAAGAGCGTTGAGCTTCACAATTCAAGTGCCCAGAGAATGCTTCCAGTTTAAATAGTTGGCTGCAGAAATTGAATGAACTCATGGAACGAAAATTAAAGCTTTTTTCAAAAGCCCTTCAAGCGCTATGGAAACCTTGTTTTTGCTAATGTGATATACGAAGTATATATATAAATTAGGCAGTCACTAAAAATTGCTTTTTGAGTTCATTTGAGTCGTTTGTATGCTGTTTGCTTCCCGCAAGCTGTAGGTTTCGCTTTAAACCAATTTTTCATAAAGTGTCTTAAAGCAGGCATTTTAGCAGTTATAAGGCATCTTGTTTTCCAGCCTGAACCAGCGTTTCCCGTATTATTTGTTTAAATTTACCCAGCGGTTATATCCATGCAGCTTTTACCAGCTGAAGAGGAGTTGTTCAAAGTTATACAGCAAGGTACAAATTTATTGTTTTGATTCTTTTTTTTGAATATTTTAAACTTTCGAAGAAACAGGAGAAGTTTTCTTGATACTGTTTTTGCTTACCTGTGATATATATGTTAAAATATCGAAAATTCTCCTATATTTAACGGTTGCTTTTCATTGAACTTGAACCCCTTAAATTGAAATTATATTGCAGGTGAAGTTGAACGGGCTTTAGCTTTGCTAAATAAAGAAGATGTCAGGATATCCTGTCTAGATGAAGTATGATTTGATTTTATAGATCAAGGCTTGAGTAACGTTTTATTGAATGCGGACATTTTTACTGTTTCCCACTGCAGATGTTTTGCTTAACTGTTTCACATTACTAGACAATAACCGTTTTTATTAACATGTGTGCAGAGGATTTTTTGGGGAGTAGAAGGGTTTTGAGGTTTTTTACTTTCGAATTCTGAAATCATTGTTCTTCCGTACCTCTATCATGCGAACGCTATAAATTTTTGAACATCTCTCGACCTTAGTTCTGTCTGTTGACTTGTCATATTTCTATTTTTCTAGAAGATTCAGAAATTAATGTCGGCAAAGAAACTAAAAAGTTTAAATTTTTTTAGGATAGGCAGTCATTATGTTGCATGCTTGCTATTGTACGTTATGTCTTGACTGTATGAGTTTTATATTCTTTGTTTATGCTGGAGGTTAGTTTGACATGCATTCTAGTCGCAAAATGATTAAATAATAGATGGAAATTTGCTGTACTATTCTTAGTTTCTTGTAAGAGGTTATTTCTTTCAGAGCTTCAGAATATCTTTTAGGTTTTTTAGTGGTGTCACAGAAATAATTTTTTTTCCTGTGGTTGTAGCATTAAATAGTGTTTTTCAGTAGTTTATACTTCTATCTTTTTAGAGCAATAGCTTCGTTCATTGTTTTTTATCCAAAACTTTTAAAAGTCTCAAAATCAAAATAATTTTTTGTAGCAGGTTTCTAAAGTATTATATTTTAATATTTTTCCAATACGGCTTCAAAATCTCAGTGCGTTGTCCTTAGAATGTTATTAGAATGACTTGTTATTGTCGCAATTATAACTGATTAGTTTGTGAACGCACAATTATCAGCATCACTAATGAGAAGAAATTACTTTTTTTATTAATTAATAAATTTTGTTTCACTACTGTTTTTTCAGTACACGGTTCAAGCTTTTTTCAGAGTGGAATGACTTTGCTAGATCAGGCGTCTTACAAAGGTAATGCTGTTTTAGTTGAGGAACTGTTGAAAAGGGGAGCTGATCCAAACAGTAACGCACACAAACATGGGTATACGGCTCTTATGTTTGCTGCTATTTCGGGAAGTCCGCGTAAGTCAATAATTTTCAGGTTTTATTGAGTGATACTAGTGCTATCTAATGTCACTCCAAATGGGCTTTGAGGGTAACATCGGATTTATGTTAGCAGTGGTACGTTAAGTTTACCGTTATAGAGGGGCCTGAAATTTGTCGTATGCTATTGGATGCTGGAGCTCATTCTTACACCACTAATTCAATTAATAAAACTGCTGCTGAGCTGGCTGCTTTCGTAGGTACATTGTTCATTGGATTGAGCTTTTTAAAATATTTTCTCCATTTTTTTATACACTTAGTTTGAAGTTATTTGTTTAATTTTAAAGATCTTTTTATGGTAACTTTTCTAGTAATATATATTAATTGCAAATTAATTTTTAATTTTTAGGGCAAAATGAATGTGTTAGCGTTATTAATACTTATATAAGCGTAGAAGAAATTGATAAGTTCCTTCATCCACAGGGTAAGGAGACCCCTGAGCAATACCCACATGAACTGTGTGTTTTACTTCATGCAACCACAAGGACGCATAATATTCACCCTGTTAAGGTGCACTAGTGCTTCTTTATGGAATTTGAAGATTTTTAATTTTAGACAGTATTGTCAGATTTTATTATGCGGTGTTATTCCTGTGTATTTTTGTTTTTTTAGGTAGTTTTGTTTGTAGCAGACCATGAGGTCCTCATGAAATATCGGAGTAAATATTTGTACGTGGTTGATCGGCTTTTTGAGCGACAGTTGCGCTGTAAACAACCTAATGAGGTATAATTACATTTTTTTTGCTGAGTTTTCAAATATGAAGTTTGGAAAAATGTTGTTTCTAGCTCGAGTGGTTACCGTTATTATCATTCTAATTTACGGAATTGACCTTGTGTTTGTTGGCGTCTAACACTTATCCATCAATTTAGGCAATGTCAATAAAGTTATGGCTGTTACTTTGTATACTGCGGGAAACATTTAAATTTTTGGATTCTTGTAACAACACGGGAAAAACTGTAAAAGAAAAGCTTTTGTTGTACGTCAAATATTTGTTGAAAATGGAACCGAGTGAACAGATCCGTCCAAACACTGAATCGTTATTACGGAATGCAGTTAGAGGATTCCCTTACCGCCAATCTGTACTTTTCCAGATGTTGGTGAAAATGATTGCAGATACAGAATTCGTAAGTTACTTTTATCTCAATATATCATTTTTAGCTAATCTTACAGGATAATGACGTGATTACAAGTTTCAAATTTTGTAATATGTCGAGTTTTGGGAACCTGATTATAGTTTGATGAGAGAGCAATGTAATTTCACTCATTTTTATAGGGCAGTGAACCGGGAGCTTACAGATGCATATTGCAAGTTTTGTTTGGTCCTGCACTAGCAACAAGATCGGCTTTTTGCGCGTGCTGTGGGGTTCCTAATGCAACCAAAAGATGTCCCAAGTGTAAGGTAATGATAAAAAAGCGTTACATTAACGGCGTGAATGTTCAAATGGATGATGTCTTCCATAAACTCCTTTATCTTTCCTCCTCTGCTATTAGTTTCATTTTTTAGCTATTATACTGTGGCGCCGCCTGCCAAAAGTTGGACTGGAAAACTCATAAAAAGTGTTGTTCAGCCATCGCCGAGCGCGTTAAACGTGAGGAAGCCATGCTCTGTGATGCTGAACCGGCCCCTGAGGGGGGTGGCCGGAAACCACTTTCAGAAGACGGCGCTTTGGATTCAAACTTTCAGAACGTTGCTTCTAAGAAGAAACAATCACGTGTAACGAAAAGTGATAAATCTGTTTGTAGGAAAAATGTGCAACAGACTTCTCCCGAGAATTCTGAAATAAATTTGATTGAAAATGATACCTTGTTGTCTTCTAAAGTCTCAGAAGTAGCTTTAGAGGATTTAGAAGTAAAGTTAGATGAAATTGATGCTGCTACTCACTCTGAAGCTAACATTTCTAATTCAAAAGTTGCTGCCCATAGCCTCAACGTTGTTTGAAAAAAACATTGCCTCTTCTTATCTGTTCTTGATGACGGTTCTGATCTCGGTCGGTTCAAATACTGGAATTTGATTTTCTCTATTCGTAGCTAGCCTCGGTTTCAACACCCAGAGTAAGAGGTTTTTAAGAATCATTTGTTGGGAGGTATTTTTTGGAAGTTGGTTTGAATGATTTAGGGCAGTGGAAGAACGTATTTGAATTGTGTTTTTTTTTTTGTGGCGTCTAATTATATTTTGTTCAAGTTGTTTTAGTTTATTGTAAGTTTTTAAGTCATCGATTGTGAGGCTTGCCTGAAACACGTACGAGGGTAGTGTGAAGACTTGCCTGAAAATGTACAGATCATGGTTGTCTGTCTGTGCCATATTCTAAGCTCTCAATAAAACTGTAAGTTTTGATATTTTTTGGAAATGCATAAACAGTAAGTTTCGTAGTGGTAAATAGAAATCTCTCAAAGTTTGCATAGTTTATTCAGTTGGTCGGCTCAAAACTGTTCTCTACGGTTCGAATTGATTAATTTCAGCTGGTTAGGTTTAAGTTGGTAAACAGCAGTTGGAGCCACTGTTAGTGTAAATCAGCAAATTATTTTCTACTAAAGCACTTTTGTTGGAGTCAAACGTCTTAGTGGTTACGAAGACGCTGAAGCCCTCAGTAGATTGCATTAACTTATATTCCGCTTGCCTTGTTATTTTGCATCACAGAGTCGCCCACATTGAATTTTGATAACTTAATAATTCTTCAGTTTAACATTGTAAAGCAAGGTATTTCACTGAAAACATTTAGATGTTTATTGAAGAAATTGATCCTGTAACTGGCGAGGTACGTTGGAGAGTTGCAGACGAAGATTATGATTTGGCTCAAGAGATTGCAAGAAGCAGATTTGGCGACATGCTTCACGATATTGAGCGCAACCATCTTTATCAGGCAGGACTACACTCTGTAATTCGCGAGGTAGAAGCTTGTGAGTAAAAGAGAAAGAGTTCTTTTGTGTTACTTTGTCATCATTAATTTGCTTAGATCCATGAAAGAAATGAGCTTGTTCATGTTCTCGACATTGGTACTGGGACGGGACTTTTGGCGATGATGGCTATGCAGGCTGGTGCTGAAAGGGTGACAGCGATAGAGGTGTTCAAGCCCATGGCAGATTGTGCCGAGAAAATTTTTAAGAATTGCGGATTTTCAGAAAGAATAACCTTAATAAGGAACAGGTCCACAGATCTTAGCCCATGTAAGGGAACTAGTTGCTTCCCCTATTAGTTCTGTAGTTTTTTTTAGTTATATGTAGGCCATTTCGCGCCCTAATTTCAGTCAACTTCTCGAATTTCTTTATTTTTTGCAAATTTGTAGCATTTAATATCAGATTGTGAAATCAAAATTGATTGCCTTAAAAATGCGCTGGCAGCAAGCTTAGGCTGTCCTAAAGTGCGAAGAAAACGTAACTTTTGTTCACCTTAGTCACTTTTAAAAACTTGTAGTTTTTTTCACTTCCAACGAATTTTTCCATATTTTACTTTATTTGAAAGGTTGCCTCTGCAGACTCGGGATAGTGATTAAATGTGAATATTAATAGATTGTGCAAAAAAGTACGGTGGAAGCAAAACTTTAGGATATTGTTGCTGAAAAAAGTGACGTTTTAAATATTTTGAAAAGTGTTTTTTGTAGAAACTTGTTGCCTCAACGTTATAAACTGTTATTTTCGTGGTATCGTAACTTTTGGTATCAGTGAGGCTGAAGTGCAAAAAAACCTCCAATTTGTGCATCTTTTTGGCGCCTTTGCAAGTAACAGTGTTTACATTTCAGTTTAAGTATTGTTATATTGGAACGTACTTTAGTGCGTGTAGTTTAGTAACAGGCAATTGATTAGAATTTTTTTGCCATTGAGTGGTTCAAATTAAATTTTTTAAAGACAATTGTCGCAGTTACTTTTTAATTACATATCGTTTTGCTTCATCACTAAACTCTTTTGACTCACATATTTAAGACTTATTGTTGACTACTGATATGAAGCACTGTTTCGTTATTTCCCTTCCAGCGTCGCTTGGTATAACGCAGCAGAAGTTTTGTTCCTCTGCGGCAGGTAAGGTTACATGAAAACTCAGTACTGAAAAGCTGTTCTTTTTTATTTTTTTTTGAAATCACGAAAACACTAGTTTCTGCCATTTAGTTCACTGTCTAACTGTAATGGTCTTTGGTAGTTAACGTTTGGACTCAAACGTTTTTTTATGTCGGCTCTCGCCGCTAGTCTTTTTAATGTACTTCCCATTTCATCGAAAAAAATCATCTTTCATTGTACGGACCTCACAATTGCAACAGAATGGCACTTCTTCTCAAAACTGTATAGAAAAAGCTTTTGTCTAGGAGCGATAGTCGGCAGTCGGCATAAAAAAGACACTTTTAGGGCAATTTCTGATTGTTCGAGACCTTTACAATTAGACAATGGACCAAATGATAGAAATATTAGTATTCTTTTAGTTCCAGAAGAACAAAGAAAAAACTTTTCTAGCGTTTTCATGTTAACTTATCAGCTGCACAAAAAAAGAATTCTATTGCAATATGTCAAGTACTACTAGAAAGACAGTAACAGAACATTATTTATTATCAGTACCCGGCAACAAATTCCGTATTTTTTGGATTAACAGAGTTCAGTGATGAAGCAGAGCGATATATTGGAGAAGTAACCGTGGTAATGATTATTTTAAAAAATTTAATTTAAGTCACTCAGCAGTAGAAAACTTTTAATCGGGAACTTGTTATCGAATGATCCGCGCTATAGCTTATTTCAAATAAAAACATTTAAGTTGAAATCAGGACGTCGTTACTTGCAGGGGCGACAAAATGTTGCACAAACCGGAGATTTTTTGCAGTTCAACCTCGCTAATCACATCGTTATTTGCGATGTCATAGAAATACTACAATGGAATTTTTATACTTTATACAACAAATATTGCTCTAAAATATATACTTTTTTAAAAAAAAATGAAATGTTTTTAGGATAGCTTTCTGAATTTTTGCTTCCACTGTAATTTTTTTGCACAGTTTACGGCCGGATATTAAGTGCCACAAATCAGCAAAAAACGAAAAAGTATTTGAGAAGCCAACTAAAAATACTGTGTCATTTGGCATGTAATGGCTCATATATATATTCAAATTGGTATTCAGTCTACGTATTTTGTTGTCTGAAACTTTTAGATGAAGAAAATGATCGAGGAAACTGTATCGTTGCTGAAGTTTTTGACACTGAACTTATCGGCGAGGGTGCTTTAAGAACTTTTAAAGAAGCATACCACACTGTTGCCAAGGCCTGTTACATTCTTCATTTATTTATTTTATTTCTTTTTCTTCTGGGTTTTTGTCTTTCATTTAAAAATGTCATCAATTCTACGTTTTTTATAAAATGCGCCATTACTTCTTTTTATTTGTTTAGACTGGTTGCCGAGTAATCCCATCTTCAGCACGAATATGGATCGTACCAGTCAAAAGTCCATTTTTAAGGCAGTTCCATTCTTTACCTGATACGTCACTTGATTGTCCTTTCAGCGACTGCTTGGGGTCTGCAGCTGTTTTTGACATGCAACTGTCAAACATACCGCGAAGCGAGTTTGAGCTGTTATGCGAACCGTTCGAAGCATTTAGGCAAGTAATTGCGTCAATTGCTTTTTACCAAAATTATTAAACTTACCGTTGTTACAAAAG